GTTCATTTTAGAGATTTTTGATCGATTTGAGGTGAAATTAGTTTCTTCAATATAGGATGTTACTGCAAAGTGAATTCGTCTGATTAAATTTTTAGAATCAGATGATGATGATAAAAAACAACATCCATGCAATTATGCCATAGAAATTAAAATATAAGTAATGATATTCAATTTATTGTAGAAACCCTGAAAATCCCCAAATACGGCTCTATCGATCCTTCTTACTCATTCAAGCCCATAGCCTTCTCCATTCTTACCACCTTCATCAGTAAAGCTCAATGCTTTTTTAAAGAATTAGTAAGACGTATTCGCGAAATGACTGGTCAGCCTGGAATATTTTTTTTATGACAAAGACTTGCTACAGCTATTATTCATTCTAACTACCTAAGTTTTCTTTCATCTAATAATTTATTTTCTTTTCTTTAAATCTTAATCCTTCTCTTCTCCTTAATTAAAATTTTATATTAATCGCCTTTATTAATTTTGTCCTAGAAAAATAGTTTGCATATCCTTTTTTTTTATAATATATTATATTATTTATATTTAAGGTTGTGTCCAAAATATCAAAAATATAAAATAAATTTATTAATTGAAAAAAAAAAATTAACATAAGCTATTTCTAGTGTGAAAATAAAATAGTGTTTTAAATCATTTATCGTCATTTTTTACTTATTTAAATTAATAGAAATAAATAAATTTTATTAAAATTTGGCTTATAAGACTGCGTCCAAAATCATAAAAATATAAATAAATAAAATAATAAATTTTGAAGAAAAAAAACATAAGCTTTTTAATGTAAAAATAAAATGGTGCCAAATTTCATTTTTCGGTATTTATTTGAATTTATTTTTAAAAAAAAATAATAAATTCGAAAAAATTTTTATTCAAAATTTATCTATTTTTGAAATTTTTATAAAAAATTAGTAAATACAATTTTTAATGCTGTTAATTTTTATAAATTTACTAACCCAAACGATTATAGCCTTTTATATTAATATATTTTTTAGTGTCAGAATATAATTTTATGTAAAGCATAGGAGTGCACAGGAACCTCTGGTGCAAAAATGACTTAAAATTCAGCGATTCTGTAGAAAGGAAAATTTAGGAGGAAATTGGAAAAACATATAACCTGAATTATGATTAAGTGAAGAAGAAATTTTTAGCTGTAAATGCTAAATTTAATAAATTATGTTCTCTCACCCAACAAAAAACTGGTAAAAATAAAAATTATATTATAATTAATATTAGGTACTGATAACCTGAATTATGATTAAGTGAAGAAGAAATTATTAGCTGTAAATGCTAAATTTAATAAATTATGTTCTCTCACCCAACAAAAAACTGGTAAAAATAAAAATTATATTATAATTAAATTTATTAGGTACTGGTGCAACCAACATAAAAAGTAAGGATTTACTATATGTTGAAGAATATATATATATATATATGGTTAAAAGAGAATGTGTTGATAATATTACCAAATATTCTGATTCAAGTTTTAAATTGACAAAGACAAATGTAAAATATTAAAAGGCATGAATATAAAATAGTTTTTTATTTTAGGAATCGGAAAATTGCCATGTGGGAACAGTATTATTTTATATTTTTATATAAAATTAATATATTTTAATAAGCTGCACAATACCTTAATGAAATTGATAACCCATTTGATGATTTAAATATTGGGCAAAATATTGAAATTGCTTCATTTGATGATACTATAATTTCTGTACAATATATTACTATTATTTGATATTTATTATTGAATAATAGCTAGATCAAGATAATGCCAACAAAGAAAATAAAAACCTTATAGTTATTAATAAAAATAATCCTATTCCTACTTTAAAAAGATTTTATATTATTTCTATTACAATTTTATTTATATATATCAAATATAATAATTTATGAATATTTTATGGAAAAATTATCTTTCAAAATAAAAGATATTAGGTCTTCTAACTATTTATTAAATATTGATACAATTATTTACAACATATATGTATTTATTAAGTATATAAATAAAATTTAAATATAACCATTATCAAATAATAGGTTCATACAAAGTTTAATAACTGAAAGGTAATATAAAATAATAAATAAAATTAAATATTTACATATCTTTTAATAAATAACTAATAATTGAATCATATCAAGCATTTTGATTTTTTTTAAAACTTAAATGTGTCCAAATGGTTTATTAATTTGAGAAAATTTTAAAATTTTAATAATTTTTTCAAAACACTTTAGACACAGCCTAAAATAAATTTGTGTAATTTTTGGAAAAACTAGTAAGTAATATTAAAGTATTTGGTGGCATTGTTATTTTTCGTATTTTATCGTTTTTATGTTCTTTTTTTGTTATTGATTTTTTTCGTTTTTCTTTTTTTTAAATATATTTTTTTGCTCCTTTGTGGAATGAGCCGATATTAAAATATTCTAATTTTTACAAAACTTTAAAAAAAAAATTAATGGAATATTTAGGAAATGTTTCATAATTTTATTAATTAGCAAAAATTTATAAATTTTAAGGTATTTTTTAATATATTTAGGGCACCGCCTAAATAGAAAAAACGGAAAAAAATAAACCTTGCTAAATAGTAGCCTGTTAAAAAAATTAAAATGAAGGAAACAACTTGATTAAAAAATAATCCCTTTTCTTAAAAAATTTTAATTATTAAATGAATAAAAAAAATAAGATTATTTTTAAAAATTGAACGAACATAAAACATGAACACGCATCCAAAAAAGGAACGCGTTCACGTTCAAAGTTCGTCAAAAATAAAGGGCTGTTAATCATTATTTCAAATTCGTAATTTCAAAAAAAAATTTGATCCCTAAAATGATTTTGCAGATAACCACCTGGCATGAGATGAGGCCATTGCAAAATCACCTCTCATTATTATTATGAGGTTGTTGTTTAAACATTAATTATAGTTCTATTATAAAAAGAGTTATGTTGAAGAATATATCTTGAGATAAAAACTTTTGTTTTTACGTATTCTATTTGGTATATAGATAGAATTTTCTTATGTTATATCTAGCCAAGCAGGACAGAGGGACTAAGGTAGTCTCAACATTTTGGGCGCCGGCTAGCTCGGGTGATATAAATGGCCCAGAAATAGGGAGGTACTTTTCATGAATAAATATGGCAGAGGCCTGTCGGCGACAGCAGGGGCCAATCTGCTGCAGATATTTAACGGAGAAACACACAAAAATAACTATAGCTAAAATCAATTTTAAATAGGTTTACAAATAAAATTAAATAAGTGAACCATATCTCCTAATAACTACAAAAAATATGAAACAAAAGAAATTGAAAAAGTTCAAAGAAAATAGGGACACTGTTTTTAAAAAATAATTAAAAAATCAATTAGCCAGAACTATTGTTAGTAGCTATAGCTTTCTAGAGTAACCTTGTATTTTTTTTGTAGATCCTAAACTGAAGTCTGTCCCTTGTATTTTTTTTGTAAATCCACATTCATTCTGGTTACATTGTTTAAGAAACTTGGTCCCAACTCTTCCGCTGTTAACAGGCCACTGTCATATTCGTCCGTTTAATCCTTCTCCATCCCTGGCCCAACCTGCATAGAAGATGAACTAGCTGCATTTCCCAAAATAGTGAAGCCAAGTTAGATTTTGTTTACCTGAAATTAGTGATCTATATCGAGCCTAATTTTTCAAACTCGGCCACGTCCCAAATTTTTTAATAAAATATTTGTCCTGTCCGACCAAATCCCAAACGATTTTTTTCATTTGTCCCAAAAAGCCTGATCCGAAATAAAAATATTTGTCAGCCCGGCCCAAATTTATTTAAATATAAAAAAATTTAATTTTTTTTATTGAAAAAAAATATCCAACAAATAAAAAATATAGCATTTGTTTATTACAAGAATTTAAAAATATATTAATTATTTGACAAACGTATGATATAATATTTAAAGTTTTAAGCCCAACCCAGCCCCGCCCGAAATTTTTAAAAATATTAGACCCGACCCAGCCCAAATCAAGATTATTTTTTAAAAATACTCGACCTGACCCAAAACCTGTTCGGACCGGACCGTGATATACAGATATACCTGAAATAACATTCCACTGAAGATTTTTTGATATTTTTTTAAGGACTACAAGCTAATGTAAAATTTGTGAGTATTGGAGATTTAATCAAGATATCACACTTTTGGAATTTTAAGGCCACTATAGATCTTTTCAAGCCAGCGCTTTAAGATTAAAATTTTAATGAAATTTATATCACATTTAACAATATCTCCAAATTTCATTCATTTAAAAATTAAGAGAAAATCTCGTTTTTTTAAATTATTTATTAGGAATGATCCATAACGCGTTACTTATTTGTGGGGAAGTGATGAGTAAGGCAAGGACGTTTCATTTTACGGATGGTAACGAAAAAATCGTTACATCTTTAGTAATACAGCACTGATAAAAATCTTTTTTTTTTAAAAAAAAATTAAGAACCTACCTTGATCATTAGTTTTAAGAGTTTGAATAGAAGTAATTTTGGCTTAGTATAAGGTAAATATTACCCTCCCATGTATCTTTACCGATGTAAAAATTTTTGGTTAAGATCTGTAAATAGCGATAAAATTTGAATAATCAAGTCGAAAAAAAATATTTTTTCTAAATTGTTAAAGACGCGTATTAAATGATTTACAATGTTTAAGGAATATTTAATTTGAATAGTAAAATTAAGATAATTTGTAAAATTAATTGAGAAATGTTGTATAAAAGGAGCGAAAATTTATCATTTTAATTTTTTAGTAATTTTTAGTTGTTTTGGTAATTGTATATCATATATTTTAAAGATTAATAAATTCATTCTTTTGGTGTAATTTTTATGTGCTATAATTGTTTTTAATTAATAAATAAATTAGTAAATGAGTAATTAGTTAATCCGGAATACAATTCACTTTTAAAACAAGATCCATAAAATATAATATGACATGTTTAGATCAAAATGTATCGAACTATATATTAATTACCTGATTAAATACGGCACTGTTTAGGAGTGTTTTATAATTGTTGGATACCCTAAGAACAGCCGATAGTATGAATATAATATCAGGGATCTGGGTTTCGTTGATGACCCATAACAAATCTTCAACCATAAAGCAACTCCGGACAAATATAAGGTTATTTTGGGGGAATGCTTGATTAGAATGATGATTAGGGAGTGGAGTATTTGAATCGGATGGGGTATTCGAAGGAGATATGTTGAGTATTTTGAGTGAACTGTTAGAGTCTAATATATATAAAGATTTACAAAATAAACCAAAATTCTTTGATTACCTAAACTTATTTTGAAATATTTTTACAATTCTCAATGGGTAAATAACATATTATTTAATTTTTATTAGGAAGATATAAAAGTAAATAAGTATGTTTAATTTACCATATCTATATATTAAAAAAATATTTTTCACTCTTGATATGTAAACTTGGCAAAATTTTTTGGGTCACAACGCGTAACTTGTTTTGATTAGTTATTATCTTAATTAGAGATTGAGGTGTGGTAGATTGAATATGAGCAGTTGGTTCAAGATTTTCGTTGAAAATTTGTATTTCTATTCTCGTATTATTCCATTGGATCTCTTATGTAATTAAAAAATTAATGTATAATATCAAAAATTAGGGCTGGGATGCATGAAAAAAAATTTGAATTTCAAAAACTAAATCAAATAAAAAAATTGAAATTTTTTTTGGATTTAAAAAAACAAAACGAAAAACTTAAATAGTATATCAAAGGCAATAAATTTTTAGTAGATTTAATTATAAAAAAATTACTCTTTTAAGCAGTATTTATATAATATGTTGAGCAGCAACAAAATTAAAAAAAGTTGAGATGTAGATGGCCAGTATTTTTTGGGTTAATGATGCTTACTACCAAGTCAACGTATAGCAATTTTCTAAATACCGACCAAAATTTATTAAAATGTAATAAGACCCTTATTATTTAATATATTATAACGGAATCACGTGATCGAGTCCGGCCTCCTATATATCATCCCCCCCCCCCCCAAGGACGGAACCGCCAAGTTAGATTAAGGAAAAAAACATGATCATTGCTGGAATTCGAACCCATGACCTCGTATTGGTAAGCGACGCTCTTGACGACAAGGCCACAGAGGCTTTCCAAAAACCACGATTTAAATATATATTATAAATAAATTTGGCAGTGCCTATCCAAATGAAAAATGAACAAAATGCAAATTTGATAGGTAATACCTTAAGGTAGTAAGTATCATAAACCTTTATTATAAGCTATCAGATATATTATATAAATCATCCATCTCAGCTAATCAACTAAAAGAGATCCTTATATTATATATTATAGAATCCTTATTCTTATTAACTAAATATACCTGATATTTAATATTATATGAAAATTAACATCAAATAATAAAAATTATTAAATTTACCACATAAAATATAACATAGAGATGTATTATTAAATTGAATTTTTTATTGCATTTATATCATTAGGCAAATCTAAATGAAAATAATCAATGATCACAAATATATAAGATGGGGCAATTGCATATTCCTTTGTCCTAATCATCTGTTTTAATTTAGTTTTATAAACCAGATTAAATTTTTAACAAATTTATATCCTATTGACTAATTGGATAATTAAATCTAATCACAATTAATAAAATATATTAGTTTAATTTATCCCAATTATCTGAGGTTTTTGTTTCTAAAGTAATTAATGAATTTGCAAATAAATTTTGTATATATCATTTTTCTACTATTTCCATAGCAATAGTTTTAATATGAGACAACTGTAAATATTCTTTCTAAAGTATTTTCATCATTACTAACTTCTAATGAAATATTGGACTTTAAATTTGGTATAAAGATGTATTTTCATACCAAATTTCTACTATGTTCATCTTTTAAAAAACTTTCTCGGTTCGACATATCTTTCCAAAAAACTGTATTTTTACCCCAAAATTAAAAATCACCCTCTAGTTATTTACTGCTTTTGGCAAAAAATATTAAGTCTCAAAATCTAAAAATTTGCATGCACCTTAAAGCCATAGCTATAAATAATAGCTTAATTAAAAGTCGCGCAATAATGACTTGCACAATATATCACTTTAGGGTAAGGTTGCTAAGGATAAAACGGTTAAAATGTTCCGTCTGATTTAAGTTGTAAAAAGATAATTTTTAAATATTAACATCTACACAATATAAAAATGAGGCTTTGGACCAAAGGAACATTAATAAATAGTTTGTGTGTTATTTGAAATAAAATTTTATGAATAGTCGCAAAAGGAAGGAGTAATTGAAATCTACGATGTACCTAAAATGTGCTATTTTTGATATAATTTATTATATTACGGTATTGTATTGATTGATGAATAGATGCCAAAATAGCAATATTTTGTTCAATTAAACAAGATAGTTATGTTTGATAATATTTATACCACTTTACCCAGTGTATGGGGTAAAATGGCACACTTCATATCATTAATCAGACCTCCTAAAGTATCATAGGTAGAGAGCTACAATTTTGCATTTTGTAGATTAAGGATTTTAATATATATAAATATATACTTTGTTATGTTTTTTGTTAATGTTTTAAAATGTTATGAAAAAGCAAAATACCAAGGATTTTTCCTAATGATTTTTATGTTTTATTAAAATTAGTGTTGTTAAAGAGCGTCACTACATTTTTAAAAACATCTGGAGCACCCTATTTTTCAATCGGAAGTGGAAATTAGCATCTTATTAGGGTGGAGCGGAGAAGATGTGCTAATCCGCTCCTTTAATTTTATAGTATAAAAAATGTTCTTAATTAATATATTTGTTAAATACATTAAAAATAATATATATTTATACTAAAATTTATGAAACTATTTATATATATTAAATATTGAGCCGAGTTCCTATTTACACTTTTATATTTTCGACATTTTTTAAACTCAAATTATAAATCATAAAAACCATGGAATGCGCTATCGTGTTATTATCGGAATAATATATTGAAATCGATGAGATAACATTTCTATTTCCATTGTACAATAAATATTTCTTCTTTTTAGAGTCGAATGTTTGAGAGTAAAAGTTCTGAAATGGATAAAGATTTTCAACTTGTGGAGATTTTGCAGATTTAGTTTATCAATCTCTTGTAATCTCTTATACACGGCATTGATAAAAGGTTTATAATTTTATTTTAAAAAAAACCTTTTTTTAAATAACTTTATTGCACATTTTCAACAGTTCTAAATCATGATAATATCATTTCTTATATTATTCATCCTATATTCAGATTGAATTGAGAATAGATAAGGATGGATCAAACTAGAGAATCAAAAAATTAATTTTATAAGAAAATAAATTCCTAACACAAAAATATTTAAAATTAGACCGAAATACCCTCCAATGATTTAGAAGATTTTTATGGATTTAATTAACTTGATTATCAGGAAGATAATATATGAGACAAATTTTTTACCAACACAAACAATACCACGATAAATATATTTGATCATAACTTTATAAAAAAAAATTCTAAAATACAATATCCCCCTTCCCTCTAGTTCTCCTGTTTAACGCTCGTTTAGAATCGCTTAACAGGATTAGGGGAGAGTTGTGTCTGTTTGTTAAGTTCAAATTTATAATAATGTACTTTTAAAAGCATATAAAATATTATAAATAATTTTGATGCAAATTTGTGCGTATATATCATTTTGTAAACTTTATATTATAAAAAATAGAAATCAAAGGAGCGACTAAAAAGCGGTGCTCCTTATTTTAAAAATTTGGATCAGGAGTGCGATCTTTTTAAAAACTAAATAGAGGAGATAGCTCCATTTGAAATAGTAGGAGGGGGAGCTAGCTGCTTTTAAAAAGAAACGTTAACAACTATGATTAAAATATTAGATAGAGTCCTAATTTTATTAAAAAATACAAAAAATTGTTGTTTATAAGTGCATCTGTGGCTGAGTTATTACAAACGCTGATTGAGGAATTACTAATATAAATCTAGACCTAGGTTCAAATCCAGCATGGATCAAGATTTTCCTGATAATAAGATAGTTCCGTGCTCTGGGGTATGATATATACAATAGCGGAAGCGAAAAAGTGAGTCTTCTTGCATTTTAATTTTTGGTATTTGTTTAGCTAATATTATATGACAATCAACATTGCTCGTTTTTTCGTTTCTCGTAGTTGAATTGGAACTTATATTCATAATTTTCTAATATTAATAACCACAATGATTATCAAGATGATTTTTGGTAAAAAGCTATGCAATATTATTCCAGCATATGTTCTTCAGGGAAGTGAAGAAGAGAAAGATAGATTTTGGGACAGTCGTTTATTGGAGGTGACATCGAGACTGGCAAATGAAGAGGGGATTATCTTCTGGTTATCTGAAGGGTCATATGGGAGCGAGTAGTGAGGGTTACAAGGGAGTACATGAAGGATTTAGTTATGGCAAGAGAAATCAGGAAGGGGAGAGAATTTTGGATTTTGATGATCGTTTCTAATACAATGTTTAAAAAAATCAGAGAAGTTGCTGGCATATACGGGTAATGTTAAAAGTGCGGTGGATTATTTGCTAGTGAGGAGATGTGATAGAAGCATTGTAAAAAATGTGAAAGGAATGTATTGATCAGCACTGATTAGTTAAAGAGGATCTCACTTATAAAGGCGATAGAATCACTAAAAGAAAGTTTGTGCTAAGGCTGAATGTTTGAAAATTGAAGGAGAGTTTAAATATAACTGGGGCGCCATGAAGTAAGCCTTGGTGAGGACAACTAAGGAGGTATGTGGATAGACAAAATAAGGAGACATGGTGGTGGAATCCGAAGATAGCGAAAGCTGTGGACAAGAAATGGAGGTGTTTTAAAAAATTGTATAATAGTAAAGAAAATAGTGAGAACGATATTTACAAGGTGGCGAAAAGAAATGCTAAGAAGTTAATAGTGAATCCTCAAGAAGGGGCATGAGTTTGCTAAAGAAATGGAATGCGCAGATGGAATGGGAAATGTAATCCAGGTGGCAAAGCAGATGGCAAAAAAGCGGCAGGATGTGGTAGGTGTTGAATGTGTGAAAAATATAAACGAAAAATGGTGATTGATAGTAGTGGTATTAAGAACACTGGAAGGACTTTTGCGAAGAGAATGAATGGGATAATGATGCTAGTTGTGCAAAGGTAAAATGTTTAGGGTGTAAATATGGCAAAGACGAAATTAAAAGAGCATTGAAAAAAATGGAAAAAGTTAAGGAAAAGGTTCAGATGACTTAGGAATTGAATGGTTAATGAATTGAGCCAATCTAATTGCCGAAGTAGGAACTATTCCTGAGGATTGGCAAAGAAGAATTACTCCTGTATACAAAGGGAAAGGTGATCTTTTAGATTGTGGGTCGTATAGCTATTAAATTCTTGGAATATGCCATGAAAGATTTGAGAGGGTGTTAGAGAAGCGGGTAAGGGGATGAAATACAGTTTGACAGATGCAGTTTCTGTGGTGAGGCAAATACAAGAGAAGTATCTTGCAAGGGAAAAGAAACTGTATTATGCGTTTGTTGATTTGGAAAAGACATATGGCAGAGTGCCGAGCGAGGTTACTAGATGGGC